TCCGCACGCGTCCTTATCGAGCATCATCATCGTCGTCGTCGCTGGAACGTTTAATTAAAACAGTGAACACAGGTACCGCGCAACACGCGTAATGACTAAGCGCGTTTGCACCGTCTTTCGTGATATCAATTACTATGATAACGAAATAATGAAAAGGAAGAAGAAGAATAACCATTCGTAAGAGAGAGAGAGAGAGAGAGAGAGAGAAGGGAAAAAAGACGCGAGGAAAAGAGATGGGAAACGAAGCGTTGTCGTCGGTGGAACAAAAGCGGCCACGAAGGAACACGTGTTACCTTTTGCCATAGCTTGGCCGAGGGAGTAGTTAATTCAGCGCGCGTCGCAGCCACGACAGAACCCGGAACAAGTGTTCGCGCGCATTTATAAGCAACAGTACATCCACCGGGGAACCGTTTCGCTTAATTCAAATTGTTTTCGCGGCTCGACGACGTGGGAAACATCTGCTGGACGAAACTACGGCGAAACGAGCCGCGTTCTCTTCTCACAAAATGGTGAATTACGGAGGGAAAATGGACAGCCCCTCTGGATAAAAATTATAACTCGGAGGAGAATGATTTTCTCTCTGGAGGAGAAATAAGAATTTTTTTTAGAAAAAGCGGAATCTAAGTAGCACACTTGGAATGGAATATCTCACGTTTGTAATTGGAGAAAATAGTTTCTACGACTCTGGTTTTCAAGTATCTTTATTCTATCGACGATGAGTTTAATTTTGCCTGAATTTCGAACCTAAGTGGCAAACATAAAATAGAGTATCTCATTTATAGCTGGAAAATAATAATTTTTCGCACTTTAATTTTGAAGTATTTTTATTTTATCGTTGATGGGTTTAATTTTGCCTGTATTTCGAACCTAAGTGGCGAACTTAAAATAGAATATCTTAATTATAATTGGAGGAAGATAATTTCCAAGACTTCAATTTTGAAATATCTCTATTCTATCGATGATAATTTTAATTTTGCCCGAGTTTGGGATCTAAGTGACAATATGGGAATAAAATATCTGATTTATATCTGTAAAAAAATCATCTCCTTAACTTCGATTTATCTTCATCCTACCGACGATCGTTCTAATTTTACCAGTGATCCACATAAAACAGAAAGATTCCTCCTCCACGTTTCCCGCGTAAATTGAAAAACTCCCGGTCGCACTGAAAATTCCACTTGGATGCTGGGATGTTTTTTCAGTTCGAAAGTTCGAACGATGGATGAACGAAGGAGGTCATCTAGCAGACAGCGTGCATTGCTCGGTTGCTCATATATACGGGCTCATAAAAATTAAATGAACGGTGGACAGACGCGAGAAAGGGGGAAGATAAAGAGCAAGGGAAATGAAGGTGAGGGGTGGGCAGGACCGGGCGGGAGGATACCAGACGAATGAATGAATCTCACGACTCACACGTGTTCTGCTTTGCTTATTCAGTTCATCGTCTGATTCGACACGCATTGCTGACACATGCACCCGTCTCCTGGACCATGAAACACGCTCAATCGTTCAGTTGTTCGATTTGCCAGATTTTCATTCTGACGTTCTAACGGACGAAGGATACGTAGAGTGTATCGTACTGATACAACGCATGCAAAAGGATGTTTCAATTTCTATGCACAGGCTGTTTCTGGAAAGGGGGACAATGTACAGTTGCTCTTCGAGGAAAAATGAGGAGAATCGATGTGAAGAAGATGCTGAATGGTTTTACGAGCGGTATCTTCTTATAACGTGACTTTTGTCTTCGATGGAAACATGCTTTCTGTATGCAGAATCGTATCTTTTTTTTTGCTTTTTATTGAATCACAGAGGAAAGATATTAGGTCACTTTCTTTACAAGTTAGAGTAGAAATGTCTGTTTGTAGGAATTTCTAAAGTAACGTTTGTATTAGAAATCTGTAATGTGTAAATAATAACCGTAGAAATTCAAAGGTTTTTTTTTTTATAGTGGTATTTCTCGACACAGGCGCGTAACGCATTGTCAACGTAGACACAATTGCCGCGAGGACGTTGCATAAATTCGAGCCTGTTTTTTTTCTTGCGTTTCTTCGGTGGCAAACGGAGAACGGTTTCGTGTTCGTGCAAATTGCTGGCCGTTACGCGGCGAATAACGCCGCGTGGAGAAAAGAGCGGAGAAACGTAGATTCGAAACGCGGTTGGAAGGATTTCGTCATCGCAGATGCTCACGCGGAATACTCCGCGAGTCACCGTTCGGGCCGCTTTACGGTAAAACGCCGCATACCGATCGGCCGATCGATCGATCGCGAAGCGTGTTGTCGCTTTGCTTTGCAGAGTCGAGTGTGTGCCTTATTTACCATATTAAATAGTTTGGGAAATTTGAAGATTTGAAACTTTGAATATTTGCAAATTTAAATATTTGAAAGTTCGAAACTTTGAATATTTGAAAGTTTGAAAATTTAAATATTTGAAAGTTTGACAATTTAAATATTTGAATATTCGAAAGTTTGAAACTTTGAATATTTGCAAATTTGAAAGTTTGAATGTTCGAAAGTTGGAAAATCTGGAAATCTGAATATTCGAATATTCGCCTATTTGAAAATTTGAATACCGATTTGTGGGAAAGTAATCACGACAAAGCGTTAGATCTTGCACGCTCTCTCCTCGGCCTTCCCCTCTCAAATCAGACTATTCTACGTCGGTGAAGAGTCGAAATTGACAAAAATTCTATCTCAATTTCAAAGTGTTCACCGACGATAAGATACGAGCAGCAAGAAAAACAATTAATAACTATTCCACGATCTAAAACCTACTCCTATATCGAAAAACAACGTTTACAATCAATACTTATGGTCGCAAAGAAAAAGGAGTTTACACGTTCACAACGTGCATTTCACTTAAATCGAGTAGAGCCAGGAATAACCTGGTAAATCGTCTTTCGGTAATTAACCGGCAATAAGCACGATGGTAATCTTGCGCAATAACGTTTCTAGTAATTATCCTGTTCGGGTAAAAAATGATGAAATTGATAACCAGTCTCTGGGTAGTCTCGCCTTGTATCACAAGTTTTGATGGCTCGTTAATCAACAGATAAGACAAAATCCTTAGAGAATCGTTCTCATTAATATTCGATCGGCCGTTGAGCCTCGTTATTAGAACGTATTACCTTTCGCGGTTTCTCGAGGGCTCTAATTATTCCCGCATGTGCGTCAAATTAGCAGGCCCGCCACTGGCAAAGGCAACTTTGTATCGTCATCTGAAGCTGCTTAAACGCTGAATCCCATTACGGTTGGATGGAAAAAACAAATTTACCGCGTTATGGAGTGCGTGAGGTTCCAGAGACTTTTTTACCTGCTTGTATAGTAGACACATTATTCAAAGCAAATCGCCGGTGTAACTGTAGATAAACGAAGGTTTCATCTTTCGGATGCTGGATAATCGATACGCCAGCAGTTTTTGTATTCGTTGCAACTTGCAATTTTAACATTTCAAGTGAAATATTCCAAATTTCAATATTCCACATTTCAATACTCCAAATTTCAATGCTTCAAATTTCAATACTTCAAATTTCAAGATTTTAAATTTCAATGCTTCAAATTTCAATATTTCAAATTTCAATGCTTTAAATTTCAATATTTCAGGATTTCAATATTTCAAATTTCAGTGGTTCAAATTTTAATATTTCAAATCTCAATATTTCAAATTTCAATATTTCCAATCTCAATATTTCAAATTCAACATTTCAAATTAAAAGCTTCAAATTTCAATATTTCAAATTTCAATATTTCAGGATTTCAATATTTCAAATTTCAGTGGTTCAAATTTTAATATTTCAAATCTCAATATTTCAAATTCAACATTTCAAATTAAAAGCTTCAAATTTCAATATTTCAAATTTCAATGCTTTAAATTTCAATATTTCAGGATTTCAAATTTCAATGTTTCAAATTTTAATATTCCAAATCTCAATATTTCCAATCTCAACATTTCAAATTAAAAGCTTCAAATTTCAATATTTCAAATTTCAATGCTTTAAATTTCAATATTTCAGGATTTCAAATTTCAATGTTTCAAATTTTAATATTCCAAATCTCAATATTTCCAATCTCAATATTTCAAATTCAACATTTCAAATTAAAAGCTTCAAATTTCAATATTTCAAATTTCAATATTTCAGGATTTCAATATTTCAAATTTTAATATTCCAAATCTCAATATTTCCAATCTTAATATTTCAAATTCAACATTTCAAATTAAAAGCTTGAAATTTCATAAATCAAATGCAGGCCTCCAAATTGAACGTCCCAAGCCCAGAGAGAGAAAAAAAAAAAATGGGGAGCAGATCATAAAGCAAGCCCATGGGCCGTAGCATCGAGTTCAGCGCTCACGATACACTTTCGGATCCTTTCACCTGAATCCCTATTGGAAAACGTCGGGTCGCAGCGGCGCCTTGGACACGGCAAGGACGCGGCGTCTGAAAGGAGGATCCGTTCAAGAGGCACGACAGCTATACATTATCCTGACCGCAGGACCGCTCGCTTTCGCCGTGTCGCGTCGCGTCGACACGCCTGGAATCTAGCCAGCCATCCGCAGAGATGCGAAAATCCCTGCTTCTTTTTCACGCGTCCAAACACAACCAATTCAATATTACACGCCAATCGATGATTTAACGTCGCTTAAACAGTGCTCCAAGAATTTCATACCTTTCTCGTCACGATGCGTCCAACGTAGTGAAACTTTGAAAATGCGCGAAGATAAGGTTAAAGAGGATTTGTTCGAGAAGCTTGCGGAGAAATGATTCACAGAAATGTGTGGAATTTACGAATAATTTAAAGGAAAGGTCAGGAAAGAAACTGATTTGATAAATACTCTTTTCTCGGGAAAGAAGGTATTTACGGTGGAATATCTAATATCCAGCAGCAGGCTTTTCGAATTAATCGGATAGATAAAGAGTCGACTAAGTAAACAAGCGGTTAATCTGTTTATATAACGTTGGATTATTGTGCAGCGAGATAAGAAGAGAGAGGAATTGTTCTACTTACGCCTCGCAGTATGGCTGTTTGTTGAAACCCTTGTACGTCCGCATGTTCAGGATCATGCCGCAGCCCTGACACTTGAAGCACTGTTTGTGCCATATCTGGAACATTTCAAATATACCAATCATCCTTTTGTACCATCTCTACAGACACGTTTTCATTTCAAATCATGTGCAAGTATTGCAAGAAATATTTCAACGAAGGAAATTCCATAGCGACGACGTAATTTTCTTACCGAAACAGAAATTGTGAAACTAGAAGGCGCTTTCGTATTCTTATCAAATTTAAAGGTTCGTTAGAAACATTGCTCTAAATTACAAATTTCGACACGAACCCATAAGATACGAAAACTTGGAAAAGAAAAGAGGAAGAATTCTGTAATATCCCGATTAAGCAACGAATAACAAATGTCTCGCTCTTAATATCCCACGTGGAAATAAGAAGAACTGAAATACAACGAGAACGATCCTTCGCAAAAACGAAATCAAAGAGCGTTCCATCTTATCAGAGTTTAAAAACTGCCCCTCCATACGAACATATTCTCACCCATGCTCGGAAATAAAGAAACTGACTGCGAAACAAAAGGGATCTAATCGCGGTGGGCTTTGTTTCATTGTTACTCATCGGTAGTAGCATCTAACGATACAACTCAGCCTCCCGACATTGTGTTCCGTCCACCGCGGGGGATTTATCACTTGCCGACAATACAAGCACGCACTCTGACCCGTGGAACAGCCATTTTCTAACGGGAGATAAGCGTGAAATACGATCGTTTAATGCGGCGCGATAAGATCGACGACCGGTTGGTCACTGGGTGAAAAGCGTAATTATCGTTTTCCCTGGCCAAGGTCGCGATCGAACCGAAAGGAACGATCGCTGGAGGATCTCTCGGGATGACGACGAGCAATTAGGTAGATCTGCGATTTTCTACGGTGTCAGTTTTTGCATTTGTCGTAGTTGGTGCGTGTATCGTAATTAATAATCGCAGTAATTAAGAATCGCAGTAACAGTTAACCTTAAACTTCGATTCTAATAATAAATCGCTAATTTCCGATCCCTGTACTCAGTCTTAATTATGTATTTCACATCTCACGTCTGCTTTAATTGTTCAATCGTAAGTAGGTTAGGCGTGATAGCAGTTCTAGCTCACTTTCATTTTTACACTTACGTAAAGTGTGTAATAAAGACGTTATTATTAATAATCTTTGCAAAAATCAACTGCAATTCATCAATTTAGTAACATACAGGGTGTACCAGGTTTTAATGGCCAAACGTTGCCAGTATATTCTATGTGTCGAAATAAAAAAAAGAAAATGTTATACAAACAAAGGTCTTTTAGAGCTTCGTTAAAAAGTTACGGCGGTAATGCGAAATGAAGGAAACAACAATAGCAGACTCACGGTTACTGCGATGCAATACAGAAATAGATCATCAATATTTGCGCGATATTTACAAGATCGCGCAATGAATTGATATAAAAAATCAACGATGCGTTTACTGAAATGGAACAAAATAATAACGAAATTCGCAGAGTAATAAATTCTGTTAGTTGCTTCTTGCATAAACAGAGTAAATATTGCTGATCTACTTCTGTATTACGTCGCAGTAACCGTGAGTCTGCTACTGTTTCCTTCCTTCAGAAGCTCTAAAAGACCTACGTTCGTATAACATTTTGTTTTTATTCCGACCCATAGAATATACTGACAACGTTTAGCCATTAAAACCTGGGACACCCTGTATATGAACCCTTTACTTTGATTTTTCTACTTGCTACGTATGTTAGCCTAAGCTATTCCCACCTGACTCAAACGTTATCCACTTATCTACATTTCGTTAATTCTCGTTTCTTCGATCAAAAAATGCAGACTTCTTCCAGACTCGCTCCAAACAGTCGCAAAGCAGCCGAAAATCAATCCGGAAAGAGTCTGTCAGTCTGTCAGTTTGGAGTCAGCCACGATACGATACGATAAGGCCTGCGTAGGCGCTACGAAATAAGTGTTATCTCTGTAACTAGCGGAATAGACACCTTAATAAAACCCTGTTCCTACAATTGAGATTCGATTGTCCGTGTTCGCGATTTCTTTTATCAAGCCTGCTTCCCACACATAAACTCCGAATCGACCGTAATTTTCCTTCTCGTGAACGAAGAAAAGTGGAGTCACACAGATTCGACAGAAACGCGATTCTTCTTTCGCCATATCTCGACCGTTAACCTTCACCGCGAGAGCGTCTCGGATTTTTCCAAGATTCGACAGCGCGGATGAAATGCGACGTAGAATCGGAGGAAAATGAGTCGACACGTGAGTTAGCCACAGTTGACCCAGAGATAACCGAAGGCCGTGATAGTTGGTGGTCGATAATTGGCAAGGCTGCCGGTGCAGCGAGATGTCGAATAAGGTCGCGGATCGCGGAGGAGAACGGCCGTCGCGGGAAGGCCTACACCCGGAAAGAGAGAAATGAGTCACGAGCATGTGAGTCAACTTTGATCGCGGTCAACAAAGGGTTATAATTATTCCCAGCGCCGAACCGCCTTGTCTCTTGCCTCGTTGCACAGCGTTCGTTGCTTGCGAGACGCTTTTTATTCTCCGGACGATCCCATTGTGTACGCGACACCGGTCGTTATTTTCTCCGCGGAAAATTCAAGGATGAATTCATTTTATTTCGAATATTACAGCCGTTTCTACGGAGAAATCTTCTTTCTTTTTGTAACGCGGGTGAGACGAGAGTGTTGGGGTACTTGAGACAGGGAATTGACACGGTGGATTTATGCTTTTCTGGAGCAAGTTAACGAGTATTGGAAAGGAGTTTTGTTCTTTATTGGAAATTTTGTAATTATCGTAAAAAGACCTAGTTTTACGAGTCAGTTTCGCTAAGCAGCGATTCAGTTGCGAGGTAAGTGTCGTAAAATGGTGACCGGAAGCCGAAAGGCGGAGCACGGTCGGAGGGCTAACGAATACGTGGTTACGCGTACGATAATTAGCGAGGAAACGGTGTTCCCTGGTCTCTAATCAAGCGACATCGATCAAACTTAACTATCGGCGTGAAGGATTTGCGGAGAATTCGGTCGGTTCCTATTGATCAACGCCTATCGACAGGCTCCTCGAGGAAGGAAAAATCGTTCTCGAAAAAAGAGCAGAGGAATACTAGCACTATCCATTGAAACGGAACATCCAATAAATGATAGTCATCCGTTAACCCTTCCAAAAATCACAAATTTTCTATATTTTCTAGGTACACAGAAATATGTCTCCTGTTTTCGCCGTAACATAAAGAACAACGCAGTATAGAAAGTAAAACAAATTCACTTAAAAAAATGTCACTCGTTGCACGATTAATTACGAGACACAGCGTTGAAAGGACCCTCCAGAAATCGTTTCAAAAGCTAAAATTAAAAAGATACCCGAGTACCGGTGTATCACTTGTCACGAATGAGAAAGATCGCTCTGAAAGTAGAGGAAAAAAAAGAAAAGAAAAGAAACACGAGTAGCAGAGTGTATCAGTTAGAGCAGCGACAAGGGTGTTCAACAGGCATGTCACGTTTCGATTTCTAGACGATGCAGGTCGTCAGTGTCAGTCCGTGAGTCGTGGACGGTGGAATGCAACGACGAACGAACGCAACGGTACCTTATTTGTATCGTGCAGGCAATGTTAATCGCGCGACGAACAACGCCGCTCGAGCGGCTCTCTCGATCCTGTGCAATCGTCCGACTCTACGGGTCCCGAGCACGTGACGCAGCACACCGTGGATCTCGTTGCTTCAATTTAGTTGCAATTAGTTGGTCGCGATTAGCGGTAATTGCCCGTGGTCCCGCTTTCGAATCGACCCGGGAGAACAGTTAGTTTCGTTCGGTGGCCGGGCTCCGGGGAGAAAAAAATGCCAACTTCTATTCGTCGCCGTCACGATCGCGGAATTCTGCTGACTTCTCGCTATCGACGCTTTTTTTTCAAGGTTGATAACGGGACAGTTCTGATGGAGTTTTTATGTAGGAAATAATTGGATGGATAGCAGTACTGTTGCGTCCAAAATATTCTTACCGCTTTTTGTTTTCTTCTCGGTGGAAAGAGCTAGCGTTAAGTCTAAGTATCTTTTTTTTTTAAGTTTCTTGTAATTTTTCGGTGCTTCCTCGGTGGGAGGGATGAACGCTAAATTGAAGAGTATCTTATGAAAATTTTAAACTTAAAAATAGCGAGAAATGATTTAACAAATTAGCTCATTTTTCTGTCCTTTCTTTCTATCTCTGTTGCGGAACGGGCCGTAACGGTTGAGATCGCCTTCGTTTCGGGTTGGTTAAAAGCGTAAAATTCCAAAAATGTGTCTGATGTCGTTTTATTAAATGTTTAGTTCGAACGGGTGTCGTTCTAGGTGTATGGTTTTACACTATCTGTCGACCTTGTGCGGGTACGTCGGTTTTATACTAGTTTTGGCACCTTGCTTCCGACCAATCAATGGTCAGTGGGAGTCGAGCGTCGCTTCATGGGTTTTTTCTAACTTCGCCCCCCTTCCTACCTGTGGCGGTTGCTTGGCGTTTTTGGTTTATAATTATAAAGGTGTGTGGGGGAAAGGCAGTGGGTTGGTAACAATCTCCTACGCGAAAAATAAACGTTAAAATGAAATCAAAAATGGTGAGAAACAATTCCACAAATTAGTTCATTTTCCCACTTTTTCAGTGGAAAAAATAAACGTTAAATCGAAGTGCATCTTCACGAAAGCGTCGAACTCAAGGAGAGCGACGAATAATTTCCGAAAAATTCGCTGGCAGCCGTAGAACGAAATTTTGCACGTATTCGAGAAGATTGTACACGGCCGCAATCAGCCATGATTTAACTCGATTACTCAATTACGGTGTTTGCATATCGGTTATGCAGCCGATATTTACAAACGACACGATAAAGCCAGAACGTTACGCTCGGAGTACTTTCACTCGTTTTTGGAATGCTTTTCGCCCGTGCAAACTGGCCGGCCCCCTGTTTCGCAAGGTATTTCACTTATGGTCGCCGTGAACGTTCCCCAGGATCAAATATGGTCATCAAGCTTTACAATGTTTCACGCTGAATCCGATGGCGTTAATTAATCACCCGTTACGATCCTTTCTTTCGCACT